TCCTATAAGTGGGCCGAGAACTGCAATTACGTGTGGCGGGCAGGGGAGTTGCTACAGGGTCACTTTCTATTCGCTGGTGTCATTTTCCACCCCCTCACGTTGGAGCCTTGCTCTGGCGTGTAGTTATCGGCGAAGGTGCTTTTCCCGACACTTCGTCTCCGTAGCTATATATTTGTGGTGGTCGCTTCCTGTTTGTCCAGATATACGAAAAGTCAAACCCTAGAAAGCAGTTGGGAAATGGAAGAGCCGATTGCTCGAGCTCGCTCGGCTCCATCTCGCAGAAAGCAGGCCCCCAAGCGTCACAGCATTATGGGAGTTTAGTTTCTACACAACCGTGTACGCCTAATATGAATAGCTTCTGCTTCTTTCGCAGATGCGTGCTATTTGGCAGTTCGATTATGTACGCTCAGGCCAGTCAAGAAAGGTGACTGAGGTTGTTTGGCGCATTATCCTTCGTCCGCCCCACGAGCTTTATCAGGCTGCCCTCGATCCGGCGCCGCAGTCGTTGGTGGAAATTTCTATCAGTGCGTTATCAGGACAGTTGCCCCGACAGGAATCCGCCCCAGACGAAAGACCGCTCGGAACTAATGCAGGCTGGGATTTGGTCAGGAATCGGACGTAGTACCTGACAAAGCTGGCCAAGCACAGCCGGCCGGCGCCAGGTTTTCGCCAGAATAAGAAAGGGTGCCTAGAATGCCGATAAAGGCGTACAGGCGAGCTCCAGGGGGCAGTTCATAATAAGATGCGATCGCCGAAACATTCCATTTATTGGCCTAACGTTTCGGATCCTCACTCAAACCCATCATCGGAGGCAGTCGCAGATGAGGGCACCAGGGGTCACGTACCTAACCCAATTAGTAGGTTCCGCACTCATCGCTGTTGGTCATGCCTGACGCGGTGATGGCTGGTTAGTCCGCGTCCGAGTCATTAATTGGTGAAATTGAATAACCCTCATCATCACGCCCAGAATCAAAGAGGGTGATGCAATTTCGCCAATGTGAGATGTTGCCTGAATAGCGTTGTTGTTGACATTAGTAGTGCTGGTGGTCGTGGTCGTGGTCACGCCGATTGGGGGATGAAATCGTTGCTGGGTGTAAAGGATGTGTCTCCTCCCCCCATCTCCGGGTTTCTTGACTTTTGTCTTGGATACAAGTGCGGGAGTGGGGTAGATCCTATGTGAGTCTAATTAACTATAATCCAGCGCGAAACGCTGTGTTTGCCTTTAACTCGCTGAAGGTCGTGGTGGAAATCGTCGAACTCGACGTTCGCACTGTCACGGAATGTGTTAGGTGTATTGGTATCGCGATGGATTCTGCTGTTTTGATGCGCATGCGACCGAATAGGTCCGTGTGGTGAGTTTATGTGTGAGGATAGTTTTTGTTTTGTTGGTGCTCCATACACTGGTTTGCCAGTCTCTTTGACCAACCAAGCCGGAACGTGATGTGAATGGGTGATCGCAATGAGGACAGATCAGAGTTAGTTCCCCATTGCTGGTGTTATGGGGCGTTGGTGGTAGAGGTAGCAGGTTGCGCGTCGGCGGAAGTGGTGGGAGTGAGTGAGGTGGTATCTGTGGTGGTCGCTATTGCCATCGACGCGGTAGTTGCGACAGGACGGATAGTGTCGCTTGTTGAAGAAGGTGGGGCATCCGTGACGAGGGTCGGTCGCCGTCGTCCGGTTTGAAGCCGGGGAAACTGCAGAAGTGTTCGTCGTTGCAGAACTTACTGTTAACGGAGTGTTGTTGCATTGTGCCTGATGGGTCCAATTCACACGGGGAAGGTCCGTTGGCAGCATATGCATGCTGCCATAGCTTGGACGTTGGCGGCACGTTTCCAGGGTGATTTCTGGCCGCCCTTTTGGACTTAGCAGTGGTGGTCTGGTTTGCCTCGTAGATTTTGGCGCCAGTATTCAATATTTCGCTCCAGACTGCTTGGTCCCGGGCGAAGTCCTACCAGAACGTCAATTTGATTTGGAGCCGCTTCAGTGCGTTCTTCAGGATGTCCTTTCATCGTATTTTTGTCCCCGTGGTCGATGAGATCCCGCAGCGACATCTACGCAGAACAGTCGTTTGGGTAGTCGCCCGTCTTCCATCTTCATCAGCTTGCCACTTATCGCAGTTACATCTGCTTCGGCATGACGCGGGTGCCGATGATTCAGTCTCGTTCCAGGACTTCCGTAGATGGGGTGCAGTCGTGCCGTCTTAAATTTAGAATTCTATGGAGGCAGCTGAGACGGAAAGTATTCAGCTTCCCGACTTGGTTGGTGTAAACGGTCCAGGTCTCGACTCCGTATAGGTGCGCAGTCAGGATGATAAGCTGCAAGTTGGTGTTCAGTTGTAG